CCCTGGAGCCGGTGAGTGTGGGGCGGAGGTTGCGCGCGGCGTCCGAAGCCGACTCTGGGCTCCCGCCTCGGGCCGCTGGGGGTCACCCGTCGTCGGGGGCGCCCTCTGGAGGATTTGGGGTGGGGGAAGGAAAAGAATACTACTAAATTGGATGATGTTGGGAGTGCGGGATGTATGGACAGGCAGGAGTCAGCAAAATGGGTTCAAAGGGAAGGTTCGTTGGTTGTTTTCTACTTAAGGAAATGCTCTATGAACAGTGTTTTTCGATTTTCATCATTTTCGGCAGATTTGTGAATTTACTGTTGTGCTATAGTAAGGAGGCTCGCTCGTTGCCACTGCCAAACCCTGCGAATGGTTAACCATAGCATGGATAGTCCAGTGTAGCTACGGCCAAAAAGTGAAATTAAAATTCATCTTCTATGGAATAAAGTCCAGGATATAAAAGCAAGGTTTAAACAGTATCTAGATCTGTCAGATACTGTGCCCAGGCATGGGCTAGGTCTCTTCCAGCAAACATACTGTATTCAGATAATTTGTATTTCTCACTAGAAAATGAAAGACAACCTAAGCAAACAGTATTTCTTATTACTTTAAGAGTTATGCCCTAATACATATACTTTAGAAAACAAAATAAGAAACAGACTACTATAAGTTTTCCAAGTTTGTAGAAAACTGAAAGTTTCCCAAAGACCTGTGCAGATTCTAAATTATTTTGAAGTTGTCTAGGATGTCCAGAATATTCTTTTATATAGTGAGCACATCACATCGTTTTGTATTCAATGAAGTGAGAACTAAAGAAAAAAAACCAGGAACAGATCAGTTCTTTTAAGGGCTGTATTCTATTAGGAGAGGCAAAATAAGTGTAAAAAGTTACAGAACTATAAGAAATGGAAATCACGGTTTGAGATCATTTGAAGATGTCTAAAGAAAATATTTGGCATAGAAAGTGCTGGTGAGTGCTTGAAACATTTGCCTCTCAGCTGATTGTTGCCATGTGGGAATGTGGGTCCCTCATACACACATCTGATTTTCTCTAACACAGGCTGAAAAAATATTTTTATGTGACTTAAAACATTTTTTAAATGTTATTGGCAACCATTTCACTCACACACCCTCTGTGGACCAGGAACAGGCAGTTTATAACTTCTGCAGATTATCACCTGAGTATTCAGAAATAATTGGAATTGAAAGAGTGAAAATTCTTGGAAACTGATGGTTAGGTAAGGATTTAAGAAGACAGTGGGATTTAAGCTGAGTCAGTTGAGAGGAGTGTCTTAGAAGGGGTAGGATATAACAGGTGAGTAAAATCTGAGTTGAGAAAGTAAGCAGAGATAATGAGTCAGCTCTCTTTAGAAGAGGCATGGGAAGGTGAGTGCAATAAATTAAAGAAAACCAGTTTGGGAAACCCTATATGCCAAGCTGGATTTTATTCTAGGTCAGTGATTCTCAAACTTGAACATACATTGGAATCATCTGGAAGCCTAATGAAAAGAGATTGCTGGCCCCTACCTCCAGAGTCTCTGATTCAGAAGCTCTGGAGTGGACCCTGAGTATTTCCCTTTCGTGGGTTCTCAGTTGATGCTGTTGTTGCTGGTCTGGAGACCACACTTGATGCTGTTGTTGCTAGTCCTGGGGTGTGGAGAACTGTTGGAGGAATTTGAGGTGGATAGTAAGGAGATCGATCACATTCACAGTTCAATATGAGCTTTGCTGAGAAGTCCAAGATGGAGCCTGGGAAGGGGGAGAGGGAGTGGGAGAAAAAAAAGATTCCCTATTACAGTTAATTAGCACCTGCTTGATGTCGTGCACATCATTTCATACTCACTATGACACTTGTGTTGGTCTTAATATCTTCATATGGAGAGAAGTAGATTTCCCAGGTCCCATAGATAGTCTCAGAACTCTCAAAGACTAGTTCAGATTTGAACTAGGGTGGTAGCAGTGGAAATGAATGAAACATTTAATGGGATAGTATTTAGAAAATAGAGATTTCCCAAGTAGATTGAGACCTAAAAGTAGAAATTTGGGAAATCTGAGTCTTAAATGGAAAAAGTAAAGGTAAAGTTGTCAGAGAACTTTAAAGTTCCCTGCATTAATTCAGTATGTTTTCTGTATTACTCGTATATAACAATGACCTATGTAAAAGTTTCTTATTTAAAAAATTCTGCTTTACCAGAGTTTCTTGAAATTATTTGAAAAGGAGAATGTAGAGCCTTCTATGGGGTGGTGGGAAATGCTAAACAGATTAATGGCATCTGACAGTTTATCTTCAAATCAAATGATTAGCATCGAGAAATGGAAACACGTGGTATAACTGTATTGACCGAACTGTGCTATGCAGCGGACACTGACCTAATGTATCGATTTTGGAAATCCTGTAAGCTTTTTCTTGCCAGAATAGTTATTGAAATTAAAAATATTCATTGGATCAATTTCAAGACAAATATCTCAAGTCAGATTGGCTGCTGCTGAGCAAATTTTTAATGAAGGAAAACATGCATATGTTGAAATAAGACTTTAAAAAGAAAGTCTTTAAAATAAATATGTATTTACTGTAAAAGTAGAAAAATATGTTTACAAACATTGATTAACTGAATAATCAGCATAATGGAATTATTGACCCATACAAAATTATAGCATACATTAATTCATTCTGTGAACAATAAACTATGCTGTGGTTACAAAGATAACTCAGAGTCTAGACTGACATCTTAAAAAAATCATCAAACTGATCATTACTATAATAGATGTGACACGATGATAAGAAATGGTAGTGACAACTGAAGGGGTGTGGAAAAGAGGCTGGGGAACTGTTTGTGGGGGAGGAGACACTAGAGTTGATTCTTGAAGGTTGAGGAATTTGTAAAATGATTAAAGGAGAGGGCATTCCAATCGGAAAGAACATCACGGGACAATGGCCAGGAAGTATGTGAGTATGGTATTTTCTAGGACTTGTGTGCAGATGAGAATAGTTACAGCAGTGTGGTCAGAGTGGAGGATGGGGATGAATTAAGTTGGAGAGCACTCAGAGTGTGAAATATTTATGTAATGACTGTCTTGGCTGGATTGTGAACTTCATGATTTTAGGAGCCATGTTGGAGCCATATGCCAATGTATTCCAAGGCCTAGACAGTGACTAGCATAGAGTAGGTTCTCAATAAATAATTAATGAGTGAATGGTTGAATCACAGAAAAACATTTTTTACAGATAAGGCAGAGGGAACTTTCAAAATATTTTAAGCAGAGGAGAAATATATTCAGATTTACATTTTATAAAGATAAGTGCTAGTATGGAAGATTAGTTAATGGTCATAGAGATGGCTGTCATAGATTGGGGTTTTTCATTAAGATTGTGCCCATTGGTAGGTTGCAATCTAAATAAAATAAAATAGGAAAAAATACAATATTAGACTATGATATGTAACAGGGGTAAGTAATATTTGGGAAAACTTGTTTCAGTTCTGTGCTTGTGTGTTGACTGATGCATGTCTTCCTATGGGCTGCAGTCAGAGCTTGAAAGCCATTATAGTAGAGAACTGTGGGAATGAGGTTGGAGAAGAGGGAATCGATGTAAAAGATAATTTGGAGGAAAACAGCTGTGAATCTTAAAATGCTGCCCACGAAAACCTTGCAGGGTAGGGAATGCACTTAACTCATTTCAGTATTTTTGCTCACTCAGCGTTTTCCATTGTATATTAATACATTGGTGTTCTGGTTTATTAGGAATGGCAGTGCTTTGGGATATCTTACTAAATATTGTAAATGCTGCATAATTTCTCTTATATTTTGGTTGTGCTCATCTTAACATCATAGAATGAAACTATACTTCCAGGGATCATAAAAATTCATTGAAACAGTTTGATTTGATTTGGGGGCAAGTTCTTTGATTTCTTCCCGTAAGAAAGCAGGAAAGGATGCTTAGTTACAAGAGTAGGTGGAAAGTCCTCCTATCTCTATGATTTTGTCACTCCAGTAGACTTAGTCTGTTGTGTCTGTGACATAAGGGTAGAAAGTTGTTCATACAAGGCTGAGTTATATTGCCTTTTAAAATATTTATAGACTCCTTTAAAATCTGGTTGATTGGTTAAATTAATCGCTTTAGATATGTTATGCACTTAGTTATCAGGTGTGAATTATTCTCTGTGGAGGAAGAAAACATTAAAAATTTTTAGAAACTTGATCTGTTCGGTCACCTAATACATAATTGGGATCTCCTAGCCCACGTACATCACGTTATTTCAGAGTGCTTTCGAACATACAATGATTCTGATAGAATCTCTGTGCATAGACGTGTAGCTAAAACATGATGATCACTTTTTCCACCTTGCACATAATTCTTTTACTAGGTTTCTGAGTATATATTGCTAATTTTATGCATAATTTAGAGAATAAGATAGACATGTACATTGACTGTAATGCTGATGGTCACAATACCTGGTAAAATAAGGACTCATCAAGTTTGAGTCTCATGAAGAAATCTAAATACAGAAGGAAGCAAGCTACAGATGATGGCAAAGGTAAAAAACTAAATCATGCATAGTTATTAGCTATTTCTCATCAAAATTATAAAAATTATAAACTTTAACTTAAAGAGAGTTTTTTTTTTTAACCATAGCAATCTGTATTTTGTTTGTTTTAAACGTCA